TTTATTTATATTATTTTTTAAAAAAATTAAAAGATAAAACTAAATTTTTTATAGTAAAATAATTAATTAAAAAATAAATAATAATAAAATTAAATTAAAGAATAAAAATTATTTTAAGGGTTAAAGCCAATTTTCGTCCCTCTACTTTCAAATTTTGTTCATAACCGTCCCTCTACTCTCAAATTACACCAAATGTGGTCCCTCTACTCCCTTTATTTTGTTCATTGTCATCCTTTCCTTGACTCCGTTTCTACATCCGTTAATTTCTGTTAATTTAGACGGTTAATTGCATCACGGTCAGCAGTTGAAACTATTTTTTTATTTTTTTTAATATGTGCTGTAAATTTGAGGTTTAGTCGGGTCCATAGTTTTTATATTTTAATTTTAAATTAGATCTCTCTTTTCAATTATTTCTATTACTTTAACCCTTGTTTTTTTATCAACACATCCACCACCTTCTGCGCCAATCTGCACCCATTAAAAAAAATTCATGAGATAAAAAACCCTTTTTTCTCTTTATATATTAATTAAAATCAAATAAAAAAAACTATAAACTAGGAAAATGAAAAAAAGCTAAAAAAGTGAGGAACTGTAACTTGATTATCTATGCATGAAAATATAAAAATGTTTTTTATCTGTCTAAAAATACAAAGTAAGAACATTTTTTTATCATAAATATATATATTTTTGGTTCATTTTTAGTAAACTAAATTTGACCTTTTTACTTTTCAAATATGAATTTTAAATAAAATTTTAATAATTTATATGAATAACAATTAAAAAGTTTTTTCTTCCTACATGAAATTTTTATTGGATACTTTTATTTGATAAAAAAATATTTTAATTTTAATTTATATAATATATTAAATTTTTATCTAAAACTTATATTTGAAAAGCCAAAAAGTTAAATTAGATTTATTAAAAATAAATGAAAATAGTAAAAATATAAAATTGACATTCATTTTAGTGTTATTACAATGCGTATGGATTCAATTACATAATTAATAAATTAAATGTCAAATTTTATATTTTTAATACAAATTAATAACATAAATGCATATTTATATAGTTTTAACATATTTTCTTAATAACCTCAATCTAAAAACATGTTAACAATGTATAAATATACATTTTTTTTATTAATTTGTATTAAAAATATAAAAGTTGACATTTAATTTATTAATTATCTAATTGAATTTATACACATGGCACTAACACTAAAATTAATGTCAATTTTTATATTTTTACTCTTTTCGTTCATTTTTAGTAAGTAATCCTAATTTAAGTTTTTGAGTTTTTAAATGTAAATTTTAGATAAAAAATTAACATATTATATAAATAATAACTAAAAATTTTTAATCAAATAAAAATACCCAATAAGAATTTTATGTAGGAAGAAAAAAAATTTTAGTTGTTATTTATATAAATTTTTAAATTTTCATTTAAAATTTATATTCAAAAAGTTAAAATGTCAAATTAAATTTATTAAAAATGAACGAAAAAAATATATTTATAAAAAAAGTATTCTTAATTTGTACCTTTAAACAAATTAAAAAAACTTTTTTTTTATACTTCCATGCACATATAATCAAGACACAGTCAATCACCTTTTCAGCTTTTTTTTTTTATTTCCCTAACTTATAGCTTTTTTTTTTGTTTGATTTTAATTAGTATATAAAGAGAAAAAATGGTTTTTTTATCACATAAAATTTTTAATGGGTGTGGATTGACCCCAAAGGTGGTGAACATCTTGATAAAAAAACACAGGGGTTAAAGTAATAGAAACAATTGAAAAGAGAGATTTGATTTAAGAAAGATAATTTAAGAATAATTTTTTTGTATCATTTTTTTTAAATCATATTTTTATAGAATCTTATGTGTTATTTAAATGATTAGCTATTTGTATTTATTTAAGACCCATAATATTAAATATATTTACTCATTTAATAACATGTAAAAATTATATTAAAAAATAATATAAAAATTTTTTGTACCACATTTTGGTACAATCTGATGTATTATTTAAATGATTGATTCTTTGTATTTATTTAAGACCCATAATATTAAATATATTTACTCATTTAATAACATGTAAAAATTATATTAAAAAATAATATAAAAATTTGTCTCTATATCATCACTCTCAATTTAAAACCAAAACATAAAACCATAGCCCTACCTAAACCCAAATTTGCACAACATGTGTCAAAAGATAATAAAAAATAATTTTAACTGCCAGACAATCATACAATTAACGGTCCAAATTAACAGATGTAGAAACGGTGTCAAGAAAAGGACGACAATGAACAAAATATGGGGAGTAGAAGGAAGACATTCGGTGTGAGTTGGGAGTAGAGGGATGATAATGAACAAATCTGTAGTAGAGGGATGATTATGAACAAAATTTGAAAGTAGAGGGACGAAAATTGGCTTTAACCCTTATTTTAAAACGAAAGAATGATAAGAAGACGAAATTTGTAAGGCAAAAGGTTTTACTGGCCCTACTCATCAAGGGGCCGAGGGCTGGACGTTTTATTGGATCGTACTTCGTATATACAGCACTCTCAGGGTTGTAAAGTGTAAATAAAAATAATTTTAAAAACAATCGAAAAAATTAGGAAAAATGAATTATTAATGGTCAACGACGTCAAAAGAGTTAATACAAAGTACTAATATTTGGGAAAGAAGTATTATAATTTTATCATTTACAAGATTATTTTTTAAATTGTATAATCAAAAGCTATTTTATTTTTTATTTTATTTTTATATCATATAATTTTTTATTTCACTAAAATAACATTTTTATTGAACCGAGTTGGTTGGAAATTTTGAGAAAAGTTAAAACAAAGTTTAAAGGCAAATCATGCAAATTACCCCTTAAGCTTGTTGACAGATGGTAAATAAGCCCCTAAACTGAAAACAGTAGCAAATAACCCCTTAAACTTGTCAACGGTGGCAAATCAGCCCTCCTCTAACTGCTAATGCCATCATTCCGTCCAAACTTAACCGGGTCCATGTTTTTGTATGGTCCACTGTCCAGCTGCACTTGATGTAGACTTTCTTTTCTTTTTTTTTTTTTGACTTTTTAACGTTTTTCTGAAAATAAAATTAATAAAGTAAATTAAATAAAAAATTTTTAATTTGGTTTTTGAATCTTTATATTTTAAAATATATGTTAAGAATATATTTATTATATATTTTTATTATTAATTTATATAAAAAATTAAGGAAATAAATTTTATTTTCAACATTAATTTATGTAAAATAATTAAATTAAATAATTGATAAAATTAAAGTTAAATTTTTTTATACAAATTAATAATAAAAAATAAATATATCTTTAACTTATATGTTTAAAAGATAAATTAAAAAGTTATTTAAAAGAATAACTGGCAAAAAAAAAAAGAAAAATGAATTTAATAATAATTTTTTTAATTTAGGTGTAATTAATCTACATTTTAACAATTAATTTATATAAAAAAATTAGTTCATGTAATTTTTTAGTTCTCAATTTCTCTTCCTTCAAACTTCTTTTTTTCTTTTTTTGCTAAATTTTAGATTTACAATTAATTCTTTAAATTTTTTAAACTGAGATAATTTTCATGAGTAAAAAAAATATGCTATTTAGTTATAAAGCTATCCTACAGTATGTAGGGTTTTTTATTCTTATTTTCTTGACAAAGTGACATTTGAAATTTAATTAATCTAATTGATTTTCATTACAAGTAATTAAATTTTAATGTATGAAAACTAAAATTACAATAATCAAACCTTAATGAAATATTTAAAAAAATTCAAAAATATTAATAATTTAATGACATGAGAGCCATGTCCGACTTCAATATCTCTGTGAATCCATTCTAGCT